ATATTTAATTAATTAATCACTAGCCTTCATGAACGCGCTCACGTGTGTGTAGAATGCATTTTTAAATGTATTTATATGCGTAAATTGACAAAAGGAAAATCAAATATTTGAAATAAATGAATACTCTTAGATTATGCTAGAAGAAACCCCTCACAAATCAATTAAAGCAGTTGAATTCATAAATCAATTAAAGCAGTTGATTTCCCTTTTCTTTTTCTTTTTTTTTTTTCCTTCTTCTTCTTCTTCGTCTTCTTCTTTTTTCTTCTTCTTCTTCCTTCGGATTGGGTTGGGGTTGTTTTTTTTTTTTTTTTCTTCTTCTTACTCCTCCTCTTTCTTTCTGGGTTGCAGGAGGTTGGGTTTGTGGTGGGGGGACGAATTGGGTTTGGTTTGGGTTTTTTTTTTTTTTTCCTCTTCTTCTTCTTCTTCCTCCTTCTTTCTGGGGTTGCAGGAAGATGGGGAAGAGAGAGAGGAGGGAGGGACAAAAGGGAGGTTTATTTTTTATTTTTTTTTATGTACGTTTTTTTATTATTTTAATATTTAAATAGTATTAAATGATTTTTTTTGTTTTTAATAAAAAATGGGTCCCGGATCAAGCCACGTCAGCATTTAACTGAGAAATACACGGCCAAGCTAACGGAAGGTATAACATTGACACAAATTCTAAAGATGAGGTAGGACATTGTCAATTTTAAAAGATAAGGTATGAAAGTGTCGTGACACTAATAATTGAGGTAGTTTTTTGTACTTTACCCTAAGATTTTTTATGTACTATTTCTTGGGTACTTTGACTATGTAGCGGTCATGGTTAAATACGATTCACCTGTACGACTTTCTTGCTAAGAAGATTATTCAACTTATGATTAAATTAAATCATCAACTATTATATTTGCCTTAAGCCAAAGTAGTAGGGTTACGATTATAATATGGACAGTTGGGTCTTGCATTGCTCACCAAGAAATTGGTTTGTTGAAAACATGAAAGTGAAAGACGAGAAGAGGCAAAACAAGATGTCGTCATGTAATTAGTTTGTAATACTGTCATTTTGGTATTTAGTTGCATGTAAATAATATAAGTTGGAAAAAATGAGAACCGTATATCCTTGGTAATAATATAAGTTGGAAAAAATGGTGTACCACTTGGTTAGGACTCGAGGGCATCCCATCACTGAAATATCATGGGAGTACCTCATCTTCAATAAGTTGCAATTAACGTAGTCACATGGTTTTAGCATACAAACTTACTATAATAACTGTTCATTTTCTTTAAAACCGACTTTTTAGAAATTATTTTTGCAAAAAATAGATAATTTTATATCAAGTAATATTTACATAATGAATCGTTCATTTATTTAATGTTATGAATAGAACTAAAAGATCTTCTACTTGATTGAATATTCGCAAAATACAATCTTATGATGATTAATAAATGAATACTTTCAATTAGGCCTTAGTAAAACTACGTTAATCACATATAAATAAGGTAAATACAAGTATTGAGTATTAATTAGTATTAATTAATTCTGTCCAAGAACGAGCTTTAGAGAGTGGAAACTAATTAAGAAAAAGGTAAAAAGCTCTTTGTACGAAAATAAGTAGTTCGTCAACTGCTCGTCAACTGCGACTGCTTCCGATACGAGTACTGGAGAAAAAAAGCGAAACATACGTTGTTTTGGGGCCCATTTGTCCTATACTTTCTATTTTTTAGCACAGAGCTCGTCTCCTCTTCTCATCAATCATATCAAGCCTGCCCAAATGGACTCAGAAGCTTCTCGCGTGCGCTTGACTCACTCAGAGCTCACACACACACACACACACACACACACACATATATATAGGTATGTATGTAGAAAGGTCGTTAAGCATCAATCTGAATCCCATCTGTTTTAGACGGTTAAAACCGAAAACTGGAAACTAAATTTAAACTTGATTTCCAGAAATGAAGTTCGGGAAGGAATTTTCTGCACAAATTTAAACTAAATTCACACGGGGCTCTTATAAATGCTTTGCTTCTAGTAGATTTTGGTCAATGCACACAGCAAAAAGAATTTGAGTGGTTTTATGTACACCCAAGTTTCGTTTTTAGACAATTTTGATTTTTTCACACCTAATTTTCTCTTACGAATTTGAGTGGCTCTTATAAATGCTTTGCCTCTTATAAATGCTTTGCTTCTAGTAGATTTTGGTCAATGCACATGGCAAAAAGAATTTGAATGGTTTTATGTACATCCAAGTTTCGTTTTTAGACAATTTTGATTTTTTCACACCTAATTTTCTCTTACGAATTTGAGTGGCTCTTATAAATGCTTTGCTTCTAGTAGATTTTGGTCAATGCACACAGCAAAACAAACGATATTATTTACACTAAGATAGTGGGATAGTAGGTTAAGCCTCACTATTGCTAGCAATAATGTGGTTCAAATTCGTCTTTGGTGAAAATCGAACCTAAGACCTCTCACTTACAAATGAAGAAGAATGCCACTAGACCAAAGTACAAAGTAGCACCAAAAATAATTTGTTAAACTTCCCAAAATACACTTCTTTTACTTTTTATAAATTTATTTTTCTCTAGACACCCATTCTGCCATTTGACTTTCCACCACCAACATCACATCCTCGACTCCGCCTTCAACGACAGAGCCTCAGGAATCTCATTAGCAGCCACCAAAATTAATAGAAAAAAAAATTACATAAATAAAAATTCCAAAGTTAGGCAGATAACTTCATCATCAGAGCATAAATTTTACAAATATTTGGTAGACAAACTTCTTGATGAATTTGATCTCCTTTCCTCTAAGACTATCTCCTCGCCCGTGTGCTGAGTCGGTTCAAGCATGAATTATAAGACCCCATTCGAAGGAACTGGCTCATTGTCCAGAGGATACGCACCTAAATTATAACTCTTTAATAATGCAAAATTATATTAACTTATTACTTGGTTGTGGCCCTTTGTGTTGTGTGGGATTTCTCACATGTTCAAGTTTCAAAATATCAACCTTTTTCTAAACACTGTATCTTTCTGTTATTTTGTTTCGTAGGCTGAATTGTGTGTGGTATTAAGTGGCGGAGTCAGCACAAGGTAATAGATTGTTCATAATTCCAACAACTTAAAAAATTTATGCATATTTGGTTTATTGTATTTGATCGTATAAACGGTTAGGACTACAACCTCTTCTTCTTGTTTGTTCTTCTGTTTCTTTACCGTCCATGTTTTTTCTTTTTTCCTGTGTGTGGCTCTATTGTGCGCACCAAATACCCAACGAAATACCTTGACAAACCTCTACGTAACATAGTAGTTGGTGACATATATTTACATGAGCGGAGTTAGTCTTTTCTGTCGTTCCATAAGTGATATTCTTAAAATGTGATCAGAACAGTTTTGACAAAAGAAAACGTTTTCATACGATGCCATGCAACCAATCCGGTTTGAGTAGTCAATTGATTATCGTGGCAGGCAGGTCCATGCTACTATTTTTTTCAGGTGCTATGTGAAAAATGAAAGAGTGAGGAACCTCGCCGGATCCTTTTGGTGAGGATTTCGAGAATCCTCAAATTATATTCGTTTATTGTACATCGTGCAGTCAGAAGTTATTGTAATTTTTTTTATTTAAAATTGAATATAAACAGTATCTGACGAAAACTTGCTGCACGATTTACAATAAACAGATTGAAATGCATCATGAATATATTTAATTAATTAATCATTTTTTATGTACTTTTTCTTGGGTACTTTCACTTTGTAGCGGTCGTGGTTGAATACGATCCACCGTACGACTTTCTTGCTAAGAAGATTATCAACTTGTGATTAAATCAAAGAGAACTTTAACGAAAAGTTTCCATTATTGTTTATTTTAACAAAAAAAATCATATTTTTAAACTAAAAAGTCAATCCTGGTACTATTTAATTTACCTTTTATTTTGTCCTTATCGTTAAAATTCAAAGTTTTGAAGTCATTTTAATTAGTTTTCCTTAAATCAAATCATCAACTATTATATTTGCCTTGAGCAGTATGGTTACGATTATAATATGGACAATTGGGTCTGGCGTTGCTCACCAAGAAATTGGTCTGTTGAAAACTTGAAAGTGAAAGAAGAAAAGAGGCAAAACAAGATGTCGTCATGTAATTAGTTTGTAATACTGTCATTTTGACATTTAGTTGCATGTAATTTCTTTCAATCTGGCTAATGAGAACCGTATATCCTTAGTAATAATGTAAGTTGCAAAAAATGGTGTACCACTTGGTCAGCACTCGTGGACATACCTCATCTTCAATAAGTTGTTTCTGATGTGGTTTTAGCGAACAAACTTACTATAATAACTGTTTATTTTCTTAAAAACCGACTATTTAGAATTTATTTTTGCAAAAAAAAATTAAATTATACATAATTCATGCATAAAATAAATAGATAGTTTTGATACCAAGTAATAATTGTATGATGAGTCGTCACTTTATTTAATGTTATGAATAGAACCAAAAGATCTTCTACTTGATAGAATCTTTGCAAAATACAATCTTATGATGATTAATAAATGAATACTTTCAATTAGGCCATAGTAAAACTACGTTAATCACATATAAATAAGGTAATACAAGTATTGAGTATTAATTAGTATTAATTAATTCTGGCCAAAAACGAGCTTTAGAGGGTGGAAACTACTTAGAAATTATAGAAAAAGAAAAAGGTCAAAAGCTCTTTGTACGAAAACAGAAAATTCCGACACTCTCATGGAAAAGTTGGTCGTCAACTGCGACTGCTTCCCCTACGAGTACTGGAGCAATGCGACATATACGTTGTTTTGGGCCCCATTTGTCCTTTACATTCTATTTTTTTAGCACAGAGCTCACTCTCCTCTTCTCATCAATCATGTCATGCCTGCCCAGATGGACTCAGAAGTCTCCCACGTGCGTTTGACTCACTCAGATTTTTAAAGCTACTTTCCATATATTATTATTATTATTATTTATTTATGTGTGTGTGTGTGGGTGTATGTATATATGCATGTAGAAAGATAGTTAAGAATCAATCTGAATCCTATCTGTTTTAGACGGAACCGAAAACTAAATTTAAACTTGATTTCCAGAAATGAAGTTCGGGAAGGAATTTTCTGCACAAATGGTGCCGGAATGGAAAGACGCATACATGGACTACGACTATCTAAAATCCCTCTTAAAAGAAATTCAAGTCTGCAAGCAAAGAAACAACCCCGACCCACCGGCCGCCGCCACGCCCCGCAGCTACGGCCTAAAGCGGAGGCTCACGTTGTACAGAGCCTTCAGCGGTCTGACAAAAAGTAGGCACACCCAGCAGCCCGCCAGCCCGTCTTCCGCCTCCGACATTGAGAGCCAGGCCATTCTTGTCAACTCCGTCAACGAAAACGGCAATGAGAGCTACCAGACGATGTTTCTGATGGCGGCGGAGGAAGGCGGAGTTCAGGAGCTGGAGTACTTCAAGAGGCTTGACGACGAGTTCAATAAAGTGGACAAGTTTTATAGGTCGAAGGTTGACGAGGTGATGAAGGAAGCTGCGGTTCTTAACAAGCAAATGGACGCTTTGATTGCGTTTCGGATCAAAGTGGAGAACCCTCAGAGAATGTTTGATTGGTCAGGGGAGATGACTCGCCTTGCTTCCGATGTTGCCACGTCTACAGCTGCATTGGCTGCCGCCACCCCACGCAGTGCCAGAGCAAGCAGTAAGCACACTCATAAGCACTTCTGCTAGAAGTGCTTAAAAACATGTTAGAAATTTTATCGAAAATTGGAAGCAGTAATTGCTAATATTGTGTTTACGTCTAAAATTGCGTCGTTTTAACATTGTGATTTGCGAGCAGGGCGCGTACTGGCTATGGATGCGATTGAAGAGAGCGGATCAAACAGTTCGGGTGACGAAGAAAAAGAAGACAAAAAGAGTGGAGACGTTGAGATGAAAGTGAAGAAGTCGGAGAGCGGGAGAGGCACTAGGCCTGCGCCACTAGATATACTGGACCAAGTGACAATGAATCACATGGCTGAGACACCGCGTTCCACCATCAAAGGCTTCCTCAACGTGGCTCCACACACGGAGCTCAAGTTCAGCAGGGCTAATCTCAGCAAAGTTGAACAACAGCTCAGGGGCGCTTTCATTGAATTTTACCAGAAGCTTCGGCTTCTGAAGAGCTACGGGTAAAAGATATAACGACTTTGGGGCACCTAATTTGGTTGGTTTTCCTTCTGTTTTCTTGACTGTGAAGCTAACTTTGTTATCCGCGAATGAAACAGATTTTTGAATACGTTGGCTTTCTCAAAGATCATGAAGAAATACGATAAGGTGGCTTCGAGAGATGCATCAAAATCTTACATGAACATGGTGGATAACTCATACCTTGGTAGCTCCGACGAGGTGAGGATTCTTCGTGCGTGACGCTAAAGAGAGGAAAGATTACGAGTTTCTGTTCATAGTTTTAATTTCTTCATGTCATTTGCCACTACCGCAGATTACAAAGCTTATGGAAAGGGTTGAAACTACGTTCATCAAGCATTTCTCGAACTCCAATCGCCGAAAAGGAATGGCGGTCTTGAGGCCAAAACCGAGGGTAGAAAGACATCGGATAACATTCGCTATGGGTAAGGTCTCTAGCTTAATCAGTATAGTAAACTTTCTTTCACTGAACAAGGACAATTTCGGCATCAATTTCTTTCGTCTGAATATGTTTACTCAAAAACCTTCAGGTTGCTTTGCTGGCTGCACAGCTACCCTCATATTAGCCCTTGTTTTGATCATTCGTGCTCGAAATATTATGGATAATCCGGAGAGAAGTAAATACATGGAAAACATGTTTCCTCTATACAGGTGACTAACCCTATGCTTTTCTATTCATTCTAAGTTTCCGAAAAAAGGGATAATACTGAATTTTTCGTGACATGTTATTCTTCGTTGCAGCTTGTTCGGATTCATAGTTCTCCACATGCTTATGTATGCCGGAAATATATACTTTTGGCGGCGGTTCAGAGTCAATTACTCTTTCATATTCGGTTTCAAGCAAGGAACCGAGTTGGGATACAGAGAGGTCCTCCTTCTGAGTTCTGGTCTGGCAATGCTAGCACTAGCCTCTGTGCTCGCAAATCTTGACATGGAGATGGACCCGAAAACCAAAGATTACAAAGCGCTAACCGAGCTTCTCCCACTCTTCTTGCTCCTGGTAAGATCATATTATTAGTTGAACTATTTAATTTCAGCTGCATTGGCTCATCAAACATCTAGAGATTATACGCTGAAACTAAATTCTTCTTATGCAGCTTGTGATTGTGATATTATTATGCCCCTTCAACATCATATATCGCTCGAGTCGCTACTTCTTCCTGGTTTGTGTGTTCCACTGCATCTGTGCTCCTCTCTATAAGGTAAAATTCCACAGCAGACACCTTGATTATTCGAGTTAAAAACTGTAAAATGTAACTCGGTTGGACGTTCTAATAGAAGTTTCGATTCCTTTACAGGTCACACTCCCGGATTTCTTCTTGGCAGA